TCTGAGAAAAGATACGAATTTGGATTTTAAATTTACTTGTCTTGTTCATTCCTTTTTTTTTTAATCACTTTGCGGTTATGTAAATTGAAATCAATTTATTTCTCTTCTTGCCTATAAACAAATCGTACAATATTTCTGATGCGGATTTTCCATATATATATATACGTATGTTCTGCAACAAATAGCGCATCCAATTATTTCCCAAATCCGCAAACATAATTGCAGGCGAATATATTTTACATCAACAAATGTATGCGCGCTGTTTAAACTACAAAACGAAGCAAAACATTGATCGTGAGTGTAACTAAAAAAACAACAACAAATAATAATAATAAATACGCCGTGTGCATATGCATATTTCTATGTGCATATAAATGTTGTACGGAAATATTAAAAAAAAAAAAAGGTTTATGTTTCGTTCAATTATTACCTTTTACGCAATTAGTAAAAAAGTATTTCGTTATGTTACGCAACACCGGATAGCAAACAATAATATATACAAAAAAAATATGTATATGAGTTCACGTTTTCAATGGTTTTTTTGGTGGTTTTTAATGCACTCACAACCACATACAAAAATATGTATATACTTTTAAAATGTTGTCTATCGCCGCATTATCACTTGCTTGATTAATGTGTTTCTGTTAAGTAGTTTTAAGCGTTTTCGTGACTGTGAATATTAATTAGAGTTTCGAGAAAAACCAACGGATAAGTGTTCATAGTTATAAATCGCGAAGGTTTTTCGTTTAAAAGGAAGCTGTAAATGAATTACGCAATAATTACTAATGATTACATACAAAAAAAAATAAGCTTATGGGTCATTGAAATATGGGTTTTATCACAAATGTAACAAGGTTTGTACCTTCATTGGTGCAAACCTTGTAACTATTAATTATGTAATAATTGAAGACCTGTTTTATTTAATATTTCATGTTTCAATCCTCATATCATTTAAAGAGATGCTTCTACATTAAGCATGCTTCCATTTCCATATCTACATTCCATTTATAGTGTGGATGTAACAGAACATAATTTGTGTTTTGAATGGGTGACCCAAACTAACCCAATTCTATTAATTTCCATCTTGACAGGACTATTAGAAACATGACTTTGAAACTAAAAATTTTGTTGTATCACTCATAATGTGGATGAAACATAACAAAGAACCAAAAGTTAACCAAATTGCGTTTTGAATGGGTGACTTGAGTCATTGACTATATAACTATACTATAAATGTAAATTCTTTCAATGTTTACAGATTTATTAAAAAATAGTATTGAAAGTGACTCATATTACTCATAGCAATATTACATAATCAAAAGTTAAGCAATTTGTGTTTAGATTGGGTGACCGATCTTTTCTATTTATAGATTAACATAGAAATTTATATTGTCCCATTTGACTAACTTTTTTAATACAGCCATTACATAATCAAAAGTTAAGCATCTGTCTTGAGTGGGTGACCTAAATTTACTACACGATCTGATAGATACTGACATTGTTTCTTATCACTGATTATATAATCAAAAGTTAAGCAATTTGGGTTTAGAATGGGTGACCAAACTATTCTATTTATAGAATAACTTAGATATTGACATTGTCTCATTTGACTAACTAATTTTTTAATACAGAATTGCATAATCAAAAGTTAAGAATCTGTCTTGAATGGGTGACCTACAATTACTACACAATCTGATAGAAACTGACATTGTTTCTTTTCACTGATTATATAATCAAAAGTTAAGCAATTTGTGTTTAGAATGGGTGACCGAACTATTCTATTTATAGAATAACTTGGAAATTGACATTGTCTCATTTGACTAACTTTTTTAATACAGCATTACATAATCAAAAGTTAAGCATCTGTCTTGAATGGGTGACCTAAATTTACTACACGATCTGATAGAAACTGACATTGTTTCTTATCACTCATTATATAATCTAAAGTTAAGCGAATTCTGTGTTGAAAAACAAATTTTAAAAGAAATAACTTTTATTTCTTGTAAAAAATTTAAAATAAAAACTGATGATGATGAAACTACAAAGTTATTTATACAAACGGTTTGTAAAAATTGAATAAGCGGAAAATCCATAAGTCATAAAGATAAAACGTAATTCAGTTGTAATAATAATAAAACAAAGTGTTGTTGCACTTTGAACTGTAATTAAAGAAATGTGGAAGAGATGAAATACAAACGCATATAATTAGATGAATTAAACAATTAATTTTTGGTTACGTTTGAAGCGTCGGTAAGTGTGTAATTATATTTTCATTTCTGTGCTCGGTTTTAATTAGATTTGCGAAAGGCGAGAAGATAAAAGGAGGGAAAAGTGAGGAAGAAACGCATACAATTAATTAAGTGAAATAATCCCCGTTCGGAATGTTTTCTAGTGGTAATATAATAGTTTCTGTACGAGAGAAAGAGAAACCCGAGAGGGAATTGCGAAAGATTGAGAAACGAATGAAATTCACGAGGGACACAAAGGGCAATTAAGGGCTCGCAAGTCAAAAGGTACAAAGTGGAGAGTCAGAAGCAGAAGCGCACACACTTGTATATATATATATAAACATATACATGAACACACGCACACAGACAAAGTAATAAAACTAGTTTTAAACTTTGCATTCCCCGGAGGCCCCAAACATGAACTTGACTTTGGGTTGCTTTCGTCGAGTCTCTCCTCCCTTCTGCCTTCTACTATATTTACATCACCATCTATACTGTACGAGCATGTCTATATATCTATTGTGCAAATATGGAAAGAAATACAAGGTAAATAAAAAGAGGTGGATGGAAATGTGCGGAGAGACCAGGTTCCAGGTTTTCCTAACTTTTTCAATATGGATCCATCCAGCGACGACAAAGTTATATTCCTCTCATTTGAATATGAAATTGAAGAAGACCGAGCAGCAAATGCCGCCGTTTATGTAAGATTCATTTCGATTTAATTTCGTATAGATCAAATATTATACACCAATCCCTCATATTTTCGCTTTTACACTGTTAAATAAATATAAATTAAAAGTTACATGTAAATCTTAATTTGGTAAATATTACAGTTTTACATAATTATTTGAATAATATTGTTATAAAATGCTGCATCCGCGCTATCTCTGTTAACACAACGTATTTCTCCAAGTATAAGAAGTAAACTTATTTAGAAAAAAATGGGGTTTGAAATCTATATAGTAGTTGTAGATTTGTATACTTGTGTTTCTCGCTTTTGTGCTTTTTAAATACGGTAAATTATATCAGTTGTACTAACTAATATCAGTTATCATGAAGTTCAACGACACTAACAGTTACTTAACAATTGGTATACTCAAAAGACATTTATGTCTCATGTAAGTAAAATAAAAACTAATAATAATAAGTCAATTACATATCGAAGGTGAACTTGTGTAAGGAGACAGCAAATAAAGGATAAAAACTAGCATGTAAATAAACAAGTTCTAAAAACGACTGATTGCAATATATATTATTGATTTTGTAATCACATGATTATTATATGAAACAGTCGATGGATTCCAATTTGTGCGCCATCAAATAAACATATATATTAAATATTATATTTTCGAGCTATTATGTTTGCATTCACTGCATTAACATTGTAATTCATATATAATTATAAAATATATTAGGAAATATGTTTTTTTGTTGTTAAAAATAACGTACATATGTATTTAATTTAAACTGGATTGAAATTATTTATAATCAATTATGGATTATAATATAATATGACAAATAAACATAGAAAATGTATTGAAGTTTAAAGTGAATTAAATTGTAAATTTATCAATTGTGAATTATAATAAGATTTCCTATAGTTAATAACAAAAATGTGAGAGATTTCAAGAAAAATCAAGTTAATTTCAAATTTATTACATTCATCACATAACAAATATTTTCTTAAAAAAGTAATATAATATATTAAATACATTTCTTAATAGATTTTAGAAAATATTGTTTATATTTATCTCGCATAAAATAATAATAATGTATAGAAAGAAAAAGCAAAAGAGAAAAATGAGAGTCATTTAGTTCATGAATAATAAACGTGACATCAATAAAAAAAAAGCATTAACGAAAGTAAATTCGTTAAAACCTTAAACTAATATTTTTTCTTAGAATATTTTCTTATTAATATTAAACTCTTTTCATCTCTTTCAATAACCTATATTAAAAAATAATTTGCTATTCATGAGCCCCTCTGCATCCTCTGTGGGTCAACGAATCAGCTGACCTTAATGTTACCTTAATATTCTCGAGTTTGGTGAGATTTCTCTTTTTTCATCTCACCATAAATTATTCTTCCCTGTCATTAAATTATTATTTTTATATATTTTTGTTTTTATATCTCAATTTAATACTTTTATTAATCGAAAAAACAAATTTTAAAACTAATTTCTAATTTATAGTATTATATTTTTTAGTGAATATATTAAGAAATTGTTTTATGGTTAAGTCTAGGTCAAGATTAAATTGCTTGTTTAACAGATTGTTATTATAATTACAAATTGCTGTTAAAAAGTTTATTGATCTACAAATAAAACGGATGCATTTTACAGATTTGTTATTTGATTATAGTTTTTGTGGCGTCGTAGTAAAAATGCACAGAGATAAAGCAGGAATTTTGTTGTTTTCTGGTCTATTGTTTGTGTATGTAATTGCTTAGAAACGATTAATCTTAATAATGGTTTAAACAGCGGTAAATTCAAGTCAAACGTTTTTAGTCGGACACAAAACCAATTGGAGCGTCGGTGAATCGATGTTATGTAATTACGTTTTGTAGAGTAGTGCGCGTTTATTTTTTCTGCTTTGGTCGCGAAATAATCACTTATCGTAGTAATTCCGGTCGGATAAAAGCGTGACCACAAAACACATCCTCGCTGTACATACTATACGTATTGGGAATTGGTGGAGAATTGAACAAAAAAAAAAGGAGAACGCGGAAAAAGTGATCAATTCGAGAGGTGGGCTTATTTAAAGAGGATGAACGGAGTGGATCGAGTGGCAGTTGAAGAGAACAAGAATGGAGTGCGGTTGTGCCGCGTCGTACATGGGTCCATCCCTGGCCAATACCTGCGGAGGAGGAAGCTTCGTCCTCTTCATGACCTTACTGGACACCTTCATCCGGAACAGGTGCGACCTCTCCGAGGTCTGCAGTCGAGTGAGACCAAGAATCCGACCGAACTTGGAGTACGATTTCGTGGTTATTGGAAGCGGAAGCGGCGGATCAGTCGCGGCCGGTCGCCTCGCCGAGGAGAAAGGATGGAGGGTCCTGCTGCTGGAAGCCGGAGGTGAAGAACCTGCGGGTTCGCAAGTTCCAGCTATGGTGGTTAACTATTTTGGACATCCAGAGATGGATTGGGGCTACAAGACCGAACCGGAACCGGTAGCCTGCAAAGGTAATTCCAACTGCTGCGTTAAATACGCAGGATTAATTATTGTTTTGAATTGCAGAGAATGATGAGAAGCGTTGCGAATGGATCAGAGGAAAGGTGTTGGGTGGATGCAGCGTGTTGAACGGGATGATGTACATAAGAGGAACGCAGCGCGATTTCGACAATTGGGCGGCGGCAGGAAACACGGGCTGGAGCTATAACGAGGTGCTTCCTTACTTCATGAAGTCGGAGGACAACCAGGAGATTGGGTCCTTAGTGGATGGGAAGTATCACGGAGAGGGTGGACCTTTGACCACATCCCGCTTCCCCCATCAGCCGGAACTCGCAGAGGACATCCTGATGGCAGCCCAGCAGGTCGGATATGAAGTCAGCGAGGACTTAAACGGAGATCGGTTCACAGGATTCGCAATTACGCAGACTAATAACAGGCAAGCCATTATTATCCTCATTTCTACTTTAACATCATTCCTCGCACCGCAGATTTTTTTTTGTCACTCCAAAGTAATAATACACAACACAATCAAAATCTTTAAATAACGAAACACAAATTGATATAAACTAATAGAGAAGAGTTCAATTGGACAGAGAAATCAAGTTATGGTAATGCATTCAATCCGAATGCAACTTTCTCTTTGATTAAAGCCGTTTATGAACATTTAACAACATTTAAACGCGGCATTTACGATCTCTCGAGATCCTCATAAACTTGACTTTGAACTTTACCTACACATCCGCCGTAATTAAAGAAGTTACGAAGATAATTAGCGCTCGATTTCCATGCAAATTCACAGCATTAAAATATAAATATTAGCCAACAATTTCAGCTATAATCAATAGTTTGTAGTCTATATATCACGTATAAAGTAGAAATTTAAATAAATACATTCTGTTTACTATTTGTCATTAAACAATAAAGAAAATAGAGTCAATTCACAAAAAGTAGTAGAAAACGACGCAGAGTGTGAATATAATAAATAGAAATCAATTAATTATAATATTATAAATCAATTAGATCGTGATGAAAAATTTAAAGTATTCAATTTTTAAAATAATGTCGAAAAGTGGGAGAAAAATATGAACGCTAATTTATTGATTAGAATTCAAATTACTTCCAAATGGTATAAAAAGTCTTTATTGGATTCCAAAAGAATACAAAAGAAATTTATAAAGAAAAGTGTAATAGTAAAAACACAGAAATATCTTAAAAACATTCTAATTAAGTCATCAAAAACAATTCAGTCATTATTAAACAATTGAAAGAATTTATTTATAATAGTTGTCAATAGAAGAGAAGCCCTAAAGCAAATTATTTAAATATGTCACTAGCTCAATTTTTTTTTTGTGACAACGATGAAATTGAATAAATTTTATTTAATAATTTACTTTTTATACATAAGATAATAATAATAAACCCATATATTTTATGAGATTTTCTTTGCAAACATATTTTTTTTATGACGATTCGTAAATCAGCAGTCGGAGTAATGGACGGTAACGACTTCCTAATTTATATAAATAAAAATATTTTATTTGCGTTTGGGCTTCTCCGCTTTTCTTTCTATCGTTTCTTATTTTCTTCTTCTATCTGTTTGCATGTTATTGCGGGTCTCGAGCCCAGAGGCCGAGAGACGAGAGATTTAAATGCGGTCACAAATTATGTAACATGAGCGAGGGTTTCCCCCGTTGCCCCCGGGGGGATCTTGTGTATGTTTATGTGAACGATCCTCTTTTTTTATATATACATATTATTTCCAGTTCTTGTTTCTTTTGTGGGTTAATAGCGTGTCGCGAATGTTTGGTGAACGATTTAAATGTACCGTTCGTTGCGTTGCGCGAGTTCTTGGCCTAGAATTTGGACTGCGAATTTCTCTCGTCTCGTCTCGATCGAACAAATCAATCAATTGCTAAAGAAAAGAGAAAGAAAGTTACAAACAAGATTATCGAAGTATTTTAGAGAATCTAATCATTTTCATTTATATATTTATTAATTTTAATGAAATACTAAAGTTGAAAATTATTTATTAACTAAATGTTGCAATATTATTTTTGTATCAAAAATATTAATAACATTAACTAATTATAAATTATACATGTTTTTAATTGAAAATTATATAAGTAATTTAGTGGACACGCAACAGCAATTAAACAATTAATTTAAACGAGCTTAGACAAAATAAAACTAGTAAAACAATAAATGACATTTAAGTTGTTTTTCCGTATTATGTAATTTATTGTTTTGAGCAAATACAAGAAAAAAAGATGTTCGACCTTGAATTTTCGTATTCAAATCTTGAACGTAACTGATTCATTAAGTTTTTGTAACTTGTATTAATACGATATTTATTGTTATTTAATGCTATGCAAAATATGCTTTAATTTTCGTAGACGAAAGAGGCAGGAAATTGTTGTCACGTAATAATTATGTATTTTATGCCTGCGCGGTGGAATTAATTTTTATTGGCTACATAAAGCCGCTGGGGGGGTTTCGTAATTATAAAGAACGCAGGTCGTGTACGAGATTGGGGTTGTGTGTGTTTGCGTTGGAGGGAGTCGGAAATGCGGCGAGCGAGATGGAAAGTAATGTAAAAATGCAGTAAAAGTCACATAAAAGTTATCATGATGTTGTAATGGTTCCATTAGTCAGGATGAATTGTTGGTATAGTGTGCGATTATGTTTGCAGGAATGGTACTCGTGTGAGTTCAGCTCGGGCGTTTGTGAGGCCGCACAGAGATAATCCCAATTTCCATGTCATGTTGAATTCAACGGCGACGAAAATAATGGTCGAGGATTTGGGTGGCGGCAGGAAGCGAGCGACGGGGGTGAAATTCGTCTACAACAATAAGGAGTACTTGGTGAAGGTGAAGAACGAGGTGATTGTAGCTGGAGGAGCGGTCAACTCTCCGCAACTCCTGATGTTATCCGGTGTAGGACCTAAGGAGGATTTGGAGAAGGTTGGGATTAAGCAGGTGCACAATCTTCCCGGAGTCGGGAAGAATCTTCAGAACCACGTTACTTTCTATTTGAGTTTCCTGATGAAGAAGAGGAAGAACTTCAACGATTTGGATTGGGCCAACGCTTTGGAATACATCCTTAATAGAGAAGGTCCGATGAGTTCTACGGGTATGTCTCAGGTGACTGCAAGATTGAACTCCAAATTCGCCGATCCGAGCGGCAACAACCCTGATTTACAGCTCTTCTTCGGCGGTTACTCGGCGAACTGCGCTAGCAGCGGTGAGGTGAAGGCCCTCGCGGATCCGGATAATCCCACGTCCCCGAAGCACTTCACCATCTCCCCCGTTGTTCTACATCCGAAGAGCGTGGGGTACTTGACTCTGAGATCTAGTGACCCTCTGGATGCTCCCTTAATCTACGGCAACTACTTAACGGAACCAGAAGACGTTGCGACCCTGGTCGAGGGGATTAGAGTGTCCCAAAGATTAGCAGCTGCGCCGCGCCTGAAGGCGAAGTACGGGGTGGAAATCGATGTAGAAAGCTACGGAAACTGCGCCGAGATCCACGGCTACGACACCGACGATTTCTGGCAGTGCGCCGTCAAGTACTCCACCGGCCCAGAAAACCATCAAGCCGGAACTTGCAAAATGGGACCATCTTCGGATCCAAAAGCTGTCGTCAATCCGGAACTTCTAGTCCACGGAATCGACAACATCCGCGTGATGGATGCATCCATAATGCCGAATCTCGTTTCAGGAAATACAGCCGCAACCGTAATGATGATCGCCGAGAAAGGCGTCGATATGATCAAAAACAAATGGCTTCCAAATGTAACAAATCGTGGCTCTTACGACGAGAACCAAATCAACAACCACAAATTCCTCTCCAAACCCTTCCAATTTGCAAACAACAAATCACCGTACCAGCAGCAGCAGTCCGAAATTATCTACAGAACCGCAAAATTCTTGTGATCCTATTTATTATTATTATTATTATAACAATTATTTATTTCGCTCTCCAAAATTTTAGTTTGTAGGTATTTATAATGAATACGCTAATAAATGTTATTATTTACGATGGAAAGTTCGCATTGAATTTACGAGTCCCATGCAAAACGAATATGAAACGTGGCAGAGCGCATATTTCGCCGTTGATTTAATTTGTGATTAAACATCTACAGCGTTCGGAAACTTCAATGTACAAAGTTGCGCCACCTAATGAAAATTACACACGGAACCAGAAACAAATTTGTTATTCATATGTTTTGTTATCAGCTCCAATATTTCACATACAAACAAAACCCAAAAGGATAATTAATTAATACAATAATACTAACTTTTCACAATACAAGATTCATAAGCTACATTTTTTCAGTGTATAATCAAATTATTTAAAATTCATAATAATTGTTTTTTTAAAGGATTATGTAGAGGCGAATTCGAACGAAACGTTTAACCCAATCACTAATTTATACTAATGCCCTCATAAATTATTCCAAAGTTATTAAATTCCGCATTTTAGTAACTTCGAAAACTTTTTATTACATATTTTAACCTCATTTAAAAACATTTTAATCACATTTAAACATCCCAACAAATAAACTAATTAAAGTTACTATTATCATTACACTTTTAACTTAACTTTTTGTAAATAATGAGTCAAAAGCAAATTATAAGTATTTACTTCTTCATTCCATTCCACCACCTTTCTCATTTAGCGCATAATTTCGCCAGTTTCCGCCGCGTGCTCAGTAAGGACTAAATGTAACATATAACATAGGGTAGTAATTTAAACAGTTTCCAAACCTGGACTCTTCGGCTCTGTACACTTGAACTAGGTTAAGTCTCGGAGTTTACAATATATTTTTTTTTTAATTTAATAAGCTGTCAATTTACAGCGCCATCTATTGGTTAATCCCTAAAATTAATTTTATATAAAAAACATCAGTACTTAATCCGTTGTGTTAAAGTATTTATATGAATTTCGAAATTTGTTGAAATTAATTATAAACAAAGCGAGATCTCGTTTGCGCTTTTAACGAATTTTATGCAACAATAATATATAACCAAAATAAAAAAAATTCAATTGAATGCGATTAAAAGCAAATACGCGCGACCGCAAAATATCATCACGTTTTTCTGTGCGTGTTTTTGTTATCTTTTTTTTTTTCGCATTATTTTTGTATTACGCTCGCAATTGAAATAAATAAATACATTATTGGTAACGGATGAAAAATAAATAAATGAATGAATGAAATACAAAAAAAAACCTATGCTTGATTGCCGTCAATATTTATTCATCGTCTATTTTTATTACGGATTACGGGATTAAATTTTAATTAAAATCGTAAAGGAGATAATCGCTGCACATCCAGAGCGCATATGTATACTCGGTTATTGAATGAAAGTGAAATTATGAATATAATAATAATAATAATTGAAATTTTAATTACAGAATTTAAGAAGTTAAGTATTGTAATTGGTATAACTGACAAAATAACTGTGCAACATTGGTATATTTAAAATTTAATTTAAAAAAAAATACAAGAACGAAAATAAATTTACACACACAAAAATTGTATGAGTTTTGAGGAACTGAAAATATTCATAATATAGAGTCTGTAAGTTTTAATACGTTTAATTTTTAATGACTAAAATAATGAAGTTGTCTATAATTGCTATACAATTTCAGTAAAAAAATATACAAGAACAAACATTTCAGCAGATGAATTTGTAAGGGTTTTGAGGAAATCAAAATATTGATAATTCAGAGAATGTTGGTATCTAATGCATTTGTTTTTTTTAATTATACAAAGTTTAGGTAAGTTTAGTAATGTAGTTGGTTTACCGAACAAAAGGAGAGTGTAACATTAGTAAATTTACAATTTCATTAAAAAAAAGTTGCAAGAATAAAAATATCAAACAGGAAGAATTGTAAGAGTTTTGAGGAAATGAAAATACTCATGGCTGGATCGCATGTCAACTATGCATTTTGTCGTAAATAAATTATATGCAGGGTGGATTAATATTCATAAGAATGTCCCGATGAGAGGAAGGCACGTGAGTTGCAAATTTGTAATTAATTAAAAGGCTCAACTTAATAGTTTAGTGTCCTTTTGTTTGGCCGAGCGCCGACGGGGAATCCCCCTGTTTTCTCTCTCTCAGAAGAGTTGTGTATGTCGCATTGCGAGCGTCGGAATGGCATTTATATTTTAGTGGATGGACGTGACGGAAGCCCGATGAAACATTAATTGCGCGATTGGTTGTTTTGCCCTGGAGGAAGTGAAGGAAGAGACACGGAGAGTCGGTTTAATTAGGTAGCTCCGGCTCTCTCTCTCTCCCTCAAACTGCAGAGGCGGTAGCGGCAACACCAGATCTTCAGGGCTGAAACTTTAAAACGGATTTAATGCGCCGCTGGGCCAAAGCCCTTTTTGCCGCCCGAGGCTTAATTCTAATTAAAACGCGCACGCTTTATGTACATGAGCCGACGAAAATAATATATAGAGAAATAAAAAAAAACAACATTGTTAGCTGCAATATGACACATATCATATCACACAAATCCCTTCTATTTCAAGGTAAAATCACATTGTTACACAAATTTAAAAAAAAAAGTAAAATCATTTATAAATTAGCTTAGTAAACTGAAGTAATAGTCATGATTAAATTGAAGACCTAATCCAATTGATTTTTAGAATTCTCAACTTCATTATAAATTAGTTTAATAACTATTCACAGTAATTATTTATTGGAGTAATAAAGTTAACCTATTTAGGTTAGGTCAGATTTTCTTTAGGTTAGATGAAATTAGGTTATGTAATATTTCTTTATGGTTAAGAAAAGTTAACAAAGCTTACGTTTATACCAATATTTAAAAGATTCGAACTGCAATTACCTGAAAAAGAAAGGACAAAATTAGTACATTGTTTTTATTGTATAAGTGTAAATACACAAATCTATGATTTTGTAGTATATTTTAAGTATAATGCATGTTGTAAAATGTTTGTCAAGTGGGCTCCAATTGCAAATAATTTTTGTTTTGTTATATTTTTTTAAATATTTACTTAATTATTTGAAATTGGAGCCTAACGTGGGGCAACTTAATTTATTTATTTGTTTATTTATTTCATATGTACAGCTTTAATTCTGCCAACCTTTCGGTACTTATCGACCAGACAATGGTTTTTATTATTGGTAATATACACAATCTGTTACTTTTCGTACCAAATTTTACTATTTAATGAAATCACAATAAGTACTGTAACGTGTTAAAGTAGACAATGATGTAACTTCGGTCCACGGTGCAACTATGCTTCAAAAATTTTGGGGAGACATAATCGAACTATGAAGAGAGATGGTCGAGGTCTCCAGTTGAGAAGATTTTTGTGTGATGTGAAGATTTTTGTCGAGAAGCCAAGGCCCACCGTCGGAGAAGAAGTTTGCTGATCATAAGGAATCAGTTATTAGAGTTATTCCTCTCAATAAAAGGAAGTGGTGCCCAGAACCTTCCCACGTCAGGTACTGTTACAGTACAAAAACAAATATGTTTTTATTAAGTTAATAATTATTATGTAACAGGAGTGAAAAGCAGAAAATTTGATATAGTAATTCTATTTATTTAGACAAATAATTTGAAATTGGTGACCAACGTGGGGCGACTATTTTTTTTTATTAATTTACAATAAACTACGATTATATCGAAAAATATATTTTTATTATTATGTAATAGCACCAATAGTCTGTGTGTATATTGGGTTACAAATGTCTGCTCTATGTATTTTTTTTGTTTTGTTTTTGTTTGTACTTGCTGTTCCATTTATTTACGCAGACGTTAATATATGTAATTCGTACGTTCTGTTTGCATTTGCGAAACACACATTAAAGTAAATGTTGGAAGCGCTTCAAACATGAGCACATTTATTCACCCTCGCTTAGATATATTCGATAAACATTTTCGTACGGTATAAATACATTGCTCCAGCCATTCAATAATTTAGAAACTTCCGCATCCCAAAGCCTCGCTCGAGAGCACTGTTTGCGATTTATTGCATATTCATGATCAATTTTAACCCGCATCAGAAAATTCCTAAACTGTCTATAATTAGAATATTTCTTTACAATTAACTCAAATATACAGCAATACCTCACATAGTGCGAAATATCATAATATCCCGGACTGTTTGAAACAAGATTAATAGAGGAACTAAATAAAGATAGATTTTACTGTATAAAGAAAAAAATATTGATTGTGTACTAATTTATTTCAATTTTTCTCAAAGCGTACTATAGTAAATCCGGACTGATCGAAGCTGCACTAAGTGAAATATTTCTGTATTTATTAATTTAAAAATTAATATTTCAAATGCTTTAAACTAAAATTTATTTAATAGTTTTTTTTTCTTTTAAATATAATAAAATAAAGCTGTTTCCTTCCAAGCTGCGTGCTTTCCGTTCTGATAGCTTTATCAGGGAAAACTCGGTTTTCTGTTTGTGCTCTCATTCTTTATTTTTTTTTTAATTCCTAGTTCGGTCTGGGGCATTGCGGTAATTGCAAAAATGAAAGCCGGAATGTGTACACAATGGAATGACGTGACTTTTTGTTTTGGATCCATAATGACCACGTGTCATGGCAGCGTGCTCACTTGCGGTCTCAATTTTTTTTTCGAATCCCAGTGCCAATTAGACATGCGACCGCATTTGTTTCAGACCGCCCTGTAAAATTACTTTTCAATCCAATTTTCGCTCCGACACCTCTCGCACGATCACTTAATTACTTACTGGAAAAAATATATATATGTTAAATAAAATGCACGCAACTTGGTTTAACTAAACCAGCAACATGATTATTATTTACAATTATGTTGTAAAATGCTAGATTGTTATGAGGCAATATTTAAAAAAAAAGTTAAATGAAAGTTAGTTAAATATACTATAGATGGCGTATTAGAAATATAATTAGTCACCTATAAGAAATCCGTAATGATGATGAATAATTAACTTAACTTGCTTTTTGTCCACCCCTGGTTATTTATTGGTATTGTTATATTTCTTATTTGAGATAACTTTATAACTTTATTTTCACATAACTATATAACTTTATTTGTATTTTAGTATTTTTTCTTTGTATTTTAGTAATCTTATGATTCTGGCATCTATAGCCTTTTATCCACCCTTAAATCTAATGTTTGACATTTAAAACGTCAAATTGAACTTGGGTTAAATTGACAATAGATGGCGTA